GCTAGCCAGAAATATCATTTGAACATACAGTATAGTACTGACAGGGACAGATAGTGGAAGTCTAAACTTTAACATCATGCAAATAAACCTCAGTCAGGTTTCTGTTTTTTTTTTAAATTCCTCTTAGGAATCCTGACATTTTCATTAGCCCATTAATGTGTAAGGTTTTTCCATTTTGCAATTTTCACACAGACTTCAGTAGACACTCATACTTTTCGATCTTGAGCTCGGTGTTAATGCGGTCTGTGAATAAAAAAAAGATTTCTGTCATGTTTCAGCCTCATCAGAGGGCTGTTTCTGACCTCAGACGCATGCGAACGACCTGTTGTCTCCACAGATGCAACTCCCAGTACTCTCATTACAGGATAATCCATAATTCTCCGGTTTTATTGCTTTCTACAAAACCTTGCTGCTGCTGGCTGGAAACCCTACCAGTTTCATTAATCCAGGTTATTACACATCATTAGCTCTGTTCATAATACACAGGCACACACTGCTGCAGAACGTTGGGATTATCTCTTTGAAAAGCCAAAAATGATTGTTAGTATTTTACATGTATTTGCACCAACAAATTGAGAGGCCAAATCAGAATCTTTGACTTCCTCCTGAACATAACTTCCTTTTTGGTACTGTACATTAGTAAAAAAAATTAAGGAGACACTCCCGAAAAGCACTTCCTAATAAACACACCGTAACTTCATATATAATAAACAGCAGGCCAACTGAAGTACATAGAAAGCACAGGTTGCCTAGTAACAGTGCCTCCACAAAGCTTTGTTGCAACTTGATTTGCATCCAAAAAAGATAGATGGATGCCTCAAAAATATATATTCTGTCATGTTTACACGCACATGTCCTCAGTTCCCCACACATGAATATACATAGCCACACATTTTTTAGCGCTCCTCAGACAATTCATGAGGATGGTTTCTGCTTGAGTTAGTATGCAAAGCAACAACAACAACACGGGCCGTGTTTTAAAAACAATGAGCCTATCTAACATCTGGCATCATTTTAGAGTGCCAGGAAATATTGTGTCTTCAATTGTTGGTGTAGTAACACAGAGGGGAGTAAAGAAATATGTCATTCACTGTGAAATGTTTGCCAAACGGACTAACTATTTGTCTCTAAATGAGCGGGCCGGGATCTGCGGAGCCTGACAGCTGTATGGGCATATTGGAAGACATTTAACCTTTGTAACAGTTGACAGGAGGAACGTTTGACAAGCTAGAAGAGACAACAGTTAGATAGAAAAAGAAAAAAGGGAGTAGACATTGTGTGTGTGTGTGTGTGTGTGTGTGTGTGTGTGTGTGTGTGTGTGTGTGTGTGTGTGTGTGTGTGTGTGTGTGTGTGTGTGTGTGTGTGTCCGTTCCTCGTGAGTTTTGTCCTGTATGTTTTCTCCTTTGTCTGTGAAAGTGCTCAGAGCAGCAGTGATTGGCGTGTCCTCTACGCTTGATTGATTTGAGAATATAGACAAGATGTCGCCTGTATGAAAGCTACCAATTTAAAAGCCTTCATCTCAAAACTTCAGAGGGGCACTGGTGCCATCAAAATCAGAGTGTGAGTTTTAAGCTAACATTCGTTGAGAGAAAAAGCCTTGGCGGGCAAAGTGACACCTCACTAAAGGTGGCATGCTAGCTCTATGAAACCCTCTCCCTTTTTCATTCTGCTGTTTTCTGTTTATGTGTGTCCATTTTGAATCTCACTTTGTGCCTTTACTCACTTCTATCTCTATTTGTCACTTATTGTGTATTCCGTGCGGCCGCTAAGACACTCTGGCAGTTAACTTGTCCCACAGCTCGCTGACAAAGGAATGACCTTGATGTGGTTCACATACTGTATGGTTGTGAGTTTGCTTCTTTCCTTTGGTGTGTAACTCTTTGCATATTCCTGTTTGTGTGTCTGTTTGTCTTGGCAATCACTGAATTGTGAAACCATGTGTGAGCGCCTTATCATTTGAGAGGAAGCCCCCCCACCCCCCACCCCCCCTTATCCCATGCAGTGATAATTCTGTTTGGGAGCGATGGCACTGTACCACGTCAAGAGATGGGCAGGGGGAGAGGCACAGAGAGGCCCCATTTAGATAAGACAAATTGCCAGCTGCTTAGCAGGAGCAGCCATGGCTTGGAAGAAGAAAAAGAAACAAGGGTCTGTGTGTAGACGTGTGCATGGACTGGGGATTTTGTGCATTTTATAATATGCAAGAATGTCTGAGGTACCTAAAGCAAGTGCAGTCTTTATCTCAACCTGTTGTTCAGGCCTTCTAGGCAGGCTCAGCGCCATGTGCTCCTACCTATAACTATAATGTTGTGATGGGACAAGCAGCAGTAATTAAAATCAATAGCCAGGACTTTTCCAGTCCCCGGCAAGGTCACCCGCTGCCCAGTAGAGAGAAAGAGGAGTAGAAAAAGAGAGAAGTGGGAAAGCATGGATGGGCAGAGCCAAACAGGGAAATATGTAAAGAGGTGAGGTGTCATCTTATTTTAATTAACCTGCACCTTGGAGGGGTGGCACCACAGTAATGCAACAGTGGGAATGTGTGTGTGGGTGTGATTGTGTGTACATGTGAGTATGAGTGTGCCATGTGGAGGTTTTATTTTGTCCTTGCTGGTCATTTTCACTCGCAGTGTGCTGTACTTCAAACCCATGCAATTACAGGAATATTATTTATGGGTGAAAACTGTGCCCCCCCACACCGATTTTTTTTTTGTCTTCATCTTCTTCACCCTGCTTTACAGCCTGTAAGACAAGGCTGCTAAGCTGGCTCTGGAGGGGAGGCTGGGTGTGGCAAAGCTAGCCACTGGCTGCATTAGTATTCTGCTGAGACATGCAGATACATTCCCCTTTCTCCTCCTCTGAAGGAATTATCAGCCCTGCCTTTTCTCCATACTCATCCTCTGTCTGAGCGAGGCCGAGTGATTTAACTTTTTGTTTTACTAGGTACCTGTAGGGACATCCTAAAGTGTTTCAAAATGCATGTGTGTGTGTCCACTATGCATTTCTATGCAAGTCTATCGGTCGAAACTGATGTTTAAGGTGTCTGAGCAAACACCAAATTCTCATGTGTCTCCCTCCTGTCCTTTCCCCTTCAGAGGTGACTCAGGGAGAGAAGTTCACTCCGACAGAGTTAGCACAGAGCAGTATGTCCTGTTTGTTGATTACCAGGTCCCTGTTCCTATCACAGCCCCGATAGCATCTTCATCTGATCTGTTGCCATAGCTCAGAAGACAGCCCCCACCATCACACTAACGCTACGCTGCTACCCGCCGCCGCTTGCCGAATACCTCGGTATCAGACCCAGATCTGCCATCGCCCTGCTCTCTCATCTTCTCCTTATCTCCTTATTCCACCTTCCTCCCTGCTCCCAACACCCAAAAACTCGTCACTCATCGTCCTCATCTTTCTCATCCTTTTATCCTCTCCTTTCAGAGCTTCTGCCAGAGCTCATATGGTGGTGTTGGTGGAGGTGTCTAAACTGACAAGGTGGAGGCAGTTATTGCTAGGACAAGACAAGAGAGATCAGAGAAATGGTAAAGAGGAGAAAGAGGAGGCAAATATAGTCTCTTTCCTGCAGCCAACATTCTTCAGACAATGTCTCAGGAGCCAGAGCTTAACGAGAGAAGGAGAGACAGACATAGATGAATAAAGAGCGTGAAATAACCTGTTGAGGAAGCACAGAAGTTCTGTAGACTGCAGCAGTACATTCCCACAGCCTGTTGATTGTCCATGAGATGCATGGATTTGTCCATTTCACCCTGGGCCCTACATGCAACATACAACATGCATTCATCAAAGTACAAACATGTGTCACTACACATACACAACACTGTGCAACACTCAGTACAGCAAGAAATAAATAAAACATACAGATAAACATAAAATACTAATATCTGTTCCTCACTCTAATTCCGCTTAATAACATACATACAGTTCATATTGGGTGAACATATTTTCTGCTTTTCAAATCTTAGAAATCGCCAGACACAATGCAATAGTGACAAAGTTGTCATAATTAGAGTCTATAGTGTTGAATTAGAAATTGCTTCTTTTTCCAAAGCACGCCCTAAAACACCAGGCAGCCACTGTTTATTCTCACAGATCGTCCAGTTGCACGATAAATGGTTAGCAGAAGCCAAAAGATCAGCTCACTTGTTCTTTTGGAGATGAATGTTGTTTAATCCTGTAAAGAGAAAAGCATGGAGAGCAAATGACAGACATGCAAACCCTCTTCTCTCTGCTCATATTACAAAATGGATATAAGAGTTGGATTAAGTGTCTGATATGAGTGATCTTTGAGGACTTTGAGGGAATCTGCTGTTTGTCATTTTGAATACTTCGTAATTTTGTTGACATTGTTTAATGATTTCAGTTTCCTGGGAAATATGATCCGAAATAGCAAAACATAAAGTCAGTTTGTTTTTGGTTGTATTAACTTTGTTTACTAATGATCCATCGTTTTCCTTCTAAATTCATTGTTTTGTTCTTCACATTCATTTTCATCTTAATCTGTCACTTACATTCTGGTGTCACTGCTTCCTAGATTTGCCACTAATGACACATTACAATTTTGTTTATATGACAGATGAAACGTTGTTTGTTTTCAATCTTCTGCACTCTAATTAAATTAGCTCTCCATTTAGATTGTTTTGTATAAACTATGAAAGATTAATCCGATTTCAGGAGTGGTTTGATTACCAGCTGATATTTCCAGGAGTCCTTGTTCTCCTTTGCCAGAGTATTTCTCTCTGGAAGACGACAAAGTTCATGCTACTACTGCACCGCAATGTGTCCAGTGTTTAACTTAGGAATCTGTTTCTTTGTACTTTTGCACCTTTTGCGCTTTCTACCTTCTCTTGCAAAATAGATTAGCTCTTATGTTCCTTGTTTCTCTACCTGATGCGATTATAGGTCTTTGAGTTCTTTGACCCTGAGACCTTAGATTGAACAAACCTGTCTATTAAATTGCCTCTCCCATTTCTCTCTGATGTTTGTCGTTGCAGGCAGAGGCTTCCAGCCAAAAATGTGTACTACTACCGTTGCCCTGACCACCGCCGCAACTATGTCATGTCCTTCGCCTTCTGTTTTGACCGGGAGGACGACGTCTACCAGTTTGCCTACTGCTACCCGTACACCTACTCCAGACTGCAGCACTACCTGTCAAGCCTGGAGCGCAGGAACCTGCCCTACCTACAGAGGGAGCAGCTGGGCCTAAGCGTAGTAAGTATTGAGACACAGAGTGCAGAAGAAAGTGTGTGTGAGATGTAAGTGCTTATGGCTGGAGCAGAGAGGGTTGTAGGTTGAGTGTGTGTTTGTGTGTCTGTGTGTGTCCGGAATAGGGACAGACCCAGTACACTTACGTGTGCCTGCCGGTCATAACTTCAGCCTCTCATGTTATTATTAGGATTGTTGCACTCCGAGATGGCGGACTGTAAGCCGCTGGCTGCATGTGAGTGCCTGTGTGTGTGTGTGTGTGTGTGTGTGTGTGTGTGTGTGTGTGTGTGTGTGTGTGTGTGTGCATGTTTGTGTTTAAATGGCTCTGTGTGTAATCAGTAGAGCTCTCACCTCGGCAGTAGGAGCTAGTGTATCATACATGCTGCCTCCAGTCTTGTCTGCTCTTATCAAATAATTGTAGGAGAAAAACTCATTAGAAATGCTTGAGAGATTACGACTTTTTCTTCTGTCGTCCAACATTTGTCAGAGAAAAGCTTGCTGCGAGGGAGACACCATGCAAGCACAGGTATCTGAAGGAAGCACCTAACCAAAATTTAAACACTGTGGCATGAAACCACTGAAACGAATACAGAAAAACCTCTTTAAAAAGAGATCATTTACATACAGTTATAATAACACATGGCATACAGTATTTCAGGATCTTACTGTGGTCTTATTTTGAAACAGCATGGAAGCAAATCCAATGATGATAATAATAATGAGTAGAGAAACGTGATTCAGCGATAATGGTGGTAAATTAGTCTTGATTTGTGATACTATAGTCCCATATTTCACTCCATAAAGTCCAATCCAGTACATTTATTCACATGTTTCACAGACCTCTACATACGTAACCGAGGTATATTTGACTTTTTTTTAAACCCCCCCATGCAACTCCATTAATGCATTTTACCTAAATAATACATGATAATACAGAGTATGTGCTAGACTTAAACTAACCATGTGCATTATTGAACAGGCAGTGTTTTATAGTCCCTTTGTATTAGTTATGCTCCTTGTCAAGTATGTTGTAATATCCACCTTGTGAACAAAAAATATTCTTTCTTATGAAATAGCAGCCTCTTTTTACGTTGTTAGTACTTTGAAATCTGCTGCCAGTAGACAAAAAAATATTTGTGTGGTGTATATAATGTATGTACTGGTATTTTATTGTATCTTAACATTTGCACCTTAATGTGGCTGAATGTTTCTGAATGCTGTTTTTTAAACATTGCTCTACATATAAAGGCCCATGCCTAGAGATGAAAATGTGCCATAGCTGTGAACTTCATTGCAACACATCAGTTTCAAGCTCTGTATTGGAACTATTTTGCACTGCATAGTCCCAATCATATAAAGCTAGATTCAAATTCCACTATAAAATGTGCTCAGGGTTTGAAGTTAAGATGTTAAGAGCTAGTGTGTCTGTGTTGTGTAGAACATAGTGTAAATACTAAGCTTTACAATTCTGCCTGTGCAGCACACAATTCCTGCTTTATTTTAAGCCACATCATTTGTCTGAGTGAAAGAGAGGGGAGCAGAGGGAGGACAGAGCCGCTTGGTTTGGCTCAAAGAGTCAGTATTAGTATTCATAGTCATAGAGAGGTTTTATGGCCGTATTTTTCTCTTTATGTTCTCTGGGCCTGGGTGGCAGACAGCCCAGCCCCACCCACTCATATCTCTCTTTCTCTGTCTGCTCTCTCTCTCTCTCTCTCTCTCTCTCTCTCTCTCTCTCTCTCTCTGGCTGTTTCCCTCTTTCCTGTCTCTATCTCAGGCACATATGCAACTACATCCACACACACACACACACACACACACACACACACACACACACACACACACACACAACACACACAGGTCAGAGAGCGAGGGATGAGAAGGGGAGAGCTTTCTAGCTGTATCAAAGTTTAAAGACGGATTGCTGCCGTTTCCAAGGCAGAGTCTTTGCGGGGACACCACAATAGCTTTAACCTTCTAATGGGTACAGTTATCTCATGAGGATGGAAATACGAGACAGGGCTATTTGCTCTGGCATTCTTCTATCTTGCTGACTAATTTGTTTTCCGAAATGTATTCCTGTGAACAAAATCACTGCCATCCAGCCTGCACCGGTAGACTCAGATACTGTAAAAAGGTCTGCCTCCTTTATTTTTTTCCCTACAGCCCTCTTTATCATTTTAATTGAGGTAATGTTTACTGAATTATAAGGCAGGTATTATTATTTTCAATATTATCTTCAACCTAAGCAGTGTAATGAATTTCGTGTTTATGTTACGCTGAACCCGATTACATTGTAAGAAGTCAGCTTAATTGAGATAGAAGGACAGACAGTGGAAAGAGACGTAGCATTTCTGGGATGAACGAAAAGGGCAAACCTGGAGGATCTGAATAAAATTTTCACATCAGCCTCTCAATTCTTTACTTTCTCTCATTTTCCTCCTACCAATAGAGACTTCACAATAACATTTGAATTAAACTGAATTAAACTTGCAAGTTTCCAAACTTGTTTTTTCTCTTCTGATCATCTTACTTGATGGCATCTAGCATAGCAACAATAAGAGAGAGAAACAAGAATGATATTTGTAACATGTAGATGAGGTTGAGTACTCTGATACTGTAAGGATACACTCCCATTAGTTTGTCAACAAGAAATGTTTGACTAAAAGGCATTTACTACTGAAGTTCTGAATTCGGACAATATTGTAATTCTAACCATTTGGTGCTGAAGACCTGAAAATACAATTTCAACAATGCCACACTCCAGAAATGCTTAGCTTTCTGTCAGAAATGTGGGTCTCATAGTTTGGAAGTTTATTTTAAGACAGATTTTTCTAATCGTGGTTTATCACCTAAAGAATTGTGTCAAACAATCTGACATACAAACATTTAGATGAAAATAATGGTTTTCTCACTGATACAAAAACAATACAATTCACATGGTTTTAACTTTATATAATGCAGAAGATCACATGCAGCAGTAAAAAAACAAACTGAATGACTTTTCAGATTTGCTCATGGTTGATTTTGAAGAAAGCCAAAATTGAGAAATTCAACTGAAAAGAAAATGAATGTATTCTGAGTGTGCAACACTTTTCCTCACTCCTTAGATATTACTCATTGCCTTAAAACACATAATAGCCTGGAGCCAAACTTTGCCATTATTATCCTGCACACAGTGTGAAGTCCTCAGGCAAAACCTGTTGGCGTGTTCCCATGTCAAGGAAAAGGACTAAAGGGGACACATGTGTTTTCTTTTAGGGCATTTCAACTCTGAAACGGCCTCCTGGGCAAAACAAAACTTAGATTTGCTAAGCTAGTATCCTCTTTTTAATCACTCCTCAAAGAAAAAGTTTGGGATATTCACCCGCATATGTGCTTTCTAGTGGAGAGTTGGAAGATTACATACTTCTATCCCTTCCTCCTATAAACCTTGCTAGTTGTAGAAATAGGACAGCAGATCTGAAATCAGGGACAGAGAGAGTGGTTGTGTTAACTTTATATTATACATGTTATGCTAACTACTCGTCTTCCGTGCAATAAATTGCTCTGGTTTGACTTGTGGATTAGCTAAACACGGACAACTTCAACTTCAAACCTCAAGCAGACTTTCTTGTTCTTTAAAATACTTAAATTGACTTTCTTCTTTGCTCCCATCAAATGAAAAACTTGCAAAAGAGTTGCTGGCTGTAACCTTTTATTCTACAGACGTATAACAGAGTGATACAGATCTTCTCTTTTATGTCTATTTATTTATTTATGCTCTAAATTATTTCTCTGCAAGAGAATAAACCTATTTACTAGATTTTTTTTAACTCACTAATTCATGTTATTGTCAAAAAGTAGTTTGTAGCATTCTTTAATTTGGGTATTTTGTTATCGTTATGTACTAAGTGTGTATGTAGTTTGGTAAATTAAAGTATGTGACAATTATGTAAACACAAGTGCCCTTGAGGCACACACACACACACACACACACACACACACACACACATACATACAAAGACAAAACATAAGAAGTATTTCTCTTCTTCCCAAGAGGACGGGGGTTTTGAATTCTTCCTGTCCCTGCTCTGCTGGTTCCGTGGCCCTGTGTCTGTTCCTCTGGTCCCTTTCTGTCTGAACATTTCCTTTGTAGACCATCCTGACAGTATCCAAGCAAACCCCCCCCCCCCGCCTCTCTCTCTCTCTCCCCCTGAGGCACCCTTGTCATCAGAGACAGAGAGAAAGAGACAACACTTGTTTGACCTGCTACAATGCTTACAATTGTTTTTGAAAAGATGCCTCCTGCTCCTTTCCTTTTTCCTCATTTCTGTGTGGTTGAGTGTCCCCTAGCCATCTGGAATTGAAAGCACGGTATTTGCCCACCTTGCCTGTTGGCAAAGTTTTTTCTCCCATGTCACCAGTAGGCAGTGTCTGCCCCCGGGTTGCTGAGACAGCATTTTGAGTTTTCCTTCTGCTGGCCCCACTGGGAGAGTGGGGCTATGACACTATTAGTCACCTCTGACACAGCACAGCCACTGCCTGTAGACCAGATGGAAAGAAAGTGTAAATGAGAAACCTCAGGGTGCCAGAGTGGACAGGCCACCGACCAGCCGTAAGGTTGTCTGAAAGCCTCCCCTGCTTTTAACTTCAGAGCCGTGAATTTGTTCTCTCTGTTATTCTGTTCACATACACACATAAAGTAATACTATTGATCTAGGAATCACAGTGCTGAGATGTCACATCCACGCAATTCCGTTTTTTTGTTTTTCCTTTTAAAATCTCACAAATAAAAGCCAGATTATGATTGATCACTTGCACTGTGTTGAAGGGAGGCAGTAGTCACTGTCAGCTGCAGTGACTTAACATTACTTAGGCTGTTGTGATTGAATTTTAGACCTAATCCTGTCTGCTATCAGTGTTCAGGTACCATGTCTGGGTGGGAGTGAAGTCTCAGAGAACAAGTTTTTTTTTTTTTTGTTCATGTCTCAAGCAAAGGAAGGGGAGTGGAGTGGGCACTGCAGCTA